CGGTTCAGGCAGGAGAGTCCTTTTCATTTGAAGGCCTTGATACCTTCATAGGTGAATCTTTTAGCAATCAAAGTCAGTGTTACTGTTTCTGTTGCCTTTCCTTCGTATCTGTCCTGCACATGATACATCCCCTCACATTTAAATTGTTGGCTTTGGGACTCAGGAGTTTTGAATGTATTTTAATATTGATCTTCTTCACAGGCCTATCATGATCCCATGCTGAAACTCTCTATCATGTCCGAGGAGGAACTCACCCACATCTTTGGGGACTTGGATTCTTATATTCCTCTGCATGAAGGTAAGAGCAACTGGATCATTTTCAGATGATGAGCTGACTAAGAGTTAAACTCTCTGCTTTCTCACATCGGAGCAGCTTACTGGGCCATTGTTGCAATTTCTATTTTTGTGTTTCAATTCCAGACTTGTTGGCAAGTTTAGGAGAAGCAACAAAACCAGATGGAACAGTGGAGCAGATTGGGCCCATTCTTGTGAAGTGGGTGAGTACATAACTTAGAGACAGCAGGCTAGAAATGCACTTCAAGAACAGTTTAAAGCCAGAAGCCGAAAAGCTGGGGGCTTTTGTGGCCTTGAGCGAAAGATTGAAACGGAAATCCTGGCTACACTGAAAACAATGGGAGTCTGTCAGGCGTAATGGGCCATGATTTCACCCCGGAGACTTACACTAGTGTGACTGCAATTACTTGCTGATTTATGTTTGAAATGTCTATATCTTCTGGGTTGTTTGTCACTGATGTGATTCCAATAGCGTTATCGCTGTTAATCTCAAAGGTCTGAACTTCAAAGGCGTTGCATGCAGGATGCCCTTGTTCTCCTCACAAAAGACTGGCTACATATACAAGACAGTCTGTTAGCTTTTTTAATGGGGCAAAGTATCTCAGTAAGGGAAGCAGAGCTCCCCTAGTTTGACACATTAATGTGATTTGCTTTTCCTACGTGGAATTTGACTCCTGAATATTGTTTTCTTCTCCTGCAGTTACCACGGCTCCATGCCTACAAAGGTTACTGTAGCAATCAGCTGGCAGCCAAAGCGCTTCTGGATCAGAAGAAGCAGGACCGAAGAGTGCAAGACTTCCTTCAGCGCTGCCTTGAGTCTCCGTTCAGCCGCAAGCTGGACCTTTGGAGCTTCCTGGACATTCCTCGAAGTCGGCTGGTCAAATACCCGCTGCTCCTAAAAGAGATCCTGAGGCACACTCCCAAAGACCATCCCGATATCCAGATTTTGGAAGAAGCCGTAAGTGATAGTGATTTTGTGATCATTTTTCTGACATAAGTATGGCATTCTGGAGCTCCAGAAAGCTTTCTTAAACTCTCAGGAATTTAATGGGGTGCTTTCCTCAGTGGTCACAGATCTGTGACTGTAACCCCTCGTGAAAGCAAATGAGACATCAGTCCATGTGGATTCCATCATCTGGAGTTCTTAAATAGCACTTAAAGGGAAGTTAGCCAAGCAGAGGTCACTGTTTAATCAGCTGTAAATGTTTTGGTTTGTAGATATCTATCATCCAAGGAGTCCTCTCTGACATCAACCTCAAGAAGGGGGAGTCGGAGTGCCAGTATTACATCGACAAGCTGGAGTATCTGGACGAGAAGCAGAAGGACCCGAGGATTGAAGGCAGCAAAGCTTTGCTGTGCCACGGGGAGCTGAAGAATAAAAATGGACATGTAAGTCCCTCGTGTTCACAGAATCACAGAACGTTAGGGATTGGAAGGGACCTCAAAAGCTCATCCAGTCCAATCCCCCTGCCGGAGCAGGAACACCCAGATGAGGTTGCACAGGAAGGCGTCCAGGCGGGTTTTGAACGTCTCCAGAGAAGGAGACTCCACAACCTCTCTGGGCAGCCTGGGCCAGTGCTCTGTCACCCTCACTGAGAAGAAGTTTCTTCTCCAATTTCAGTGGAACCTCCTGTGTTCCAGTTTGTGCCCATTACCCCTTGTCCTATCATTGTTTGTCACCGTGAAGAGCCTGGCTCCATCCTCGTGACACTCACCCTTTAAATATTTATAAACATGAATGAGGTCTCCCCTCAGTCTCCTCTTTTGCAAACTAAAGAGACCCAGCTCCCTCAGCCGCTCCTCATAAGGGAGATGCTCCACTCCCTTGATCATCTTTGTAGCCCTACGCTGGACTCTCTCCAGCGGTTCCCTGTCCTTCTTGAACTGAGGGGCCAATTCGTGGTAATTAATTCTCAAGGTGGAAAACCTGCCCTCGCAGGCAGTTTAAAACTGTTTGTCTGTTCTAGCAGGACCGAGAGCCCTTCCATCCTTAGGGTTAGTGTAGACAATTAGCTAAATAGAAAAAGCAAAAGGGAGAGCACCTGATGGCAGCCTGCATCTCAAGGGTGTAAGGGAAAGTTTCCTACTGACAGCTTTACAATTGGCCTTCAGAAGCTGGAAAATAATTAGCGCAAAATTACCATAGAAAGTGTGCTCTGTGCCCCAGCTCTCCATCAAAAGGGATTTCCTGCCGGCTGTTTATTTTCAGGTGCTCTGACATTCCCCATTATGAGCGCTGGTGCGCAGCTTTTCCAAACAAAAGTGTTCCTGCAAACGCCTCTTTGGCTTTGAGATCAACTGCCAGGAGTTTATCTCCCGCTGCAGCAGCGCTGAAAGGCCCTGCTGTACTCAAGGCTCTGCTGCCTTTTGTTCTGGCTTACAGGGGTAACCTCCTTTTAAACATCAGGGGTTTTTTTCTGTTTTCTTTATTCTTTTTGATTGGGTGGGTGGTTTCTTTGTTTAATTTCCCCATTACACTTCTGTATACGTGGATCATTTTGTACTGTCAGAAAAGATATTGCTGCTAGTCATCCTATTCTTGCCACCTGCAAATCATAATTCACTTTTTAAGGGTCATTAAAGCAATAAACTTGTTGATATGAGCGAGGTCTGCACCACCAGTGCCAGGGCCCTGCGTTGCTGTAGCAGGAAACAGAAAGTTAATGTGGGCGAAACTTCAGATAACGTGGCCTTGAATGCCAGAGGATGTGTAACCGCTTTGAAGACGGTGTACAACGCTTTGCTCATAGTCAAATGTGATTTCCCTTTCAGAAACTCTACGTCTTCCTCTTCCAAGACATCCTGGTTTTGACCCGGCCGGTCACTCGCAACGAGCGTCAGGCCTACCAAGTGTACAGGCAGCCGATCCCTGTCCAGGAGCTGATCCTTGAAGACCTGCAGGATGGTGATGTGAAAATGGGAGGATCCTTCCGAGGAGCTTTTGGCAATTCCGATAAAGGTAGGGACCAAACCAGGGAATGTGTTGGTGAGGAGAGGTTACACCTGGGTGTAGATCCCCGAGGACTGAGGTTCCTTGAGGATAGCAGAGATGTGGTACGCGTTAACGTCCACCTTTAGACCGTCACTGCTGTGGCCATAAACTTATATATGGCTCTTTCACAGCAACTTAGAATCGTCTTGGTTGGAAAAGCCCTTTAAGATCATCGAGTCCAACCGTTATCTAACTCTGCCATGCCCACTCCTAAACCATGTCCCTGAGCACTGTATCTGGACGGCTTTTAAATACATCCAGGGATGGTGACTCCACCACTTCCCTGGGCAGCCTGTGCCAGCCTTTGATAAACCTTTCAGTGTAGAAATCTTTCCTAATGTCGAATCTAAACCTCCTCTGGTGTCACTTGGGGCCATTTCCTCTTGTCCTATCAGTTGTAACTTGTGAGAAGAGACCAACACTCACCTCTCTACCCCCTCCTTTCAGGGAGTTGTAGAGAGTGAGAAGGTCTCCCCTCAGCCTCCTCTTCTCCAGACTGAACAACCTCAAGTCCCTCAGCTGCTCCTCTTAATTCTTGTGCTCCACACCCTTCACCAGCTTTGTTGCCCTTCTCTGGACCCTCTCCAGCCCCTCAACATCATCTTTGTGCCCAAAATTGAACCTAAGGTGTGATGAGTGCTTTGCAGCTGGTGCTCAGATTAGAAAACATCTATTTCAACGCGTCTCTGCTGGGTTTATGGAGTTGTTTTGGTGGAGTTTTGAACACTCCCTGAAGCAGAGCAGGGCAGTCCAGCGATGAAATCTCTAAATACTGAGCTAGGAACTGATCTGCTTTTTTTCCCTATGTTTACCTTCAGCTAAAAACATCTTCCGAGTTCGTTTCCAAGATCCTTCCCCGGGCCAGTCCCACACTCTGCAGGCCAACGACGTCTTCCACAAGCAGCAATGGGTTAATTGCATCCGAACGGCCATCGCTCCCTTCCAGCGGACTGCGGCCGCAGCAGAGCTGAAGGAGCTGCCGGAGCTGAGCGAGGAATCGGAGGAAAACAACCCCTCGGTCTCCAACATCCAAGCCCAGAAGAGGCAATCGGCCGTGTCTGGCATCACCGAGATGGAGCTGGACGAAAGCGCAGCCGAGTGCGGCTCCATCCTGGACTCGGAAGAAGCCAAGGGCGGCAAAACGCAACGAACGTCGTTTGGGCACAGGAAAAGCAGGGAGAAGCAGCTGAGCGGCAAGCGGAAAGAAACGCTGGTGTAGAGGAGCCCAGCGACGTCCCGGTGGAAGACTGTTTATTTATAAATAACGTGTACATTTTTCTTGTAACGTGAGCATGATTGGATTCACTCTGCTGAATATTATTTTGTTGTTGGGGTTTTGTTTTTTTATGTTGTAATGGCAGCTACTGGTACACATCAACACTGTTGAACCTGGGGTCTGGTTTTACAAACGTGGCCGCGTCGAGCCCGCATTTAGCGCCGTGAGCGATTCGGGAGCTCTCGTGTTTTTGACTTGCTCGTGGCAGATTTGAAGAGCACGGTTTGGCTTCGGAAAGATTTCCACGGGCGCTGACGAAGGCTGGAAAAATGGTAAAGCTAAAGAGGAAGTTTGGGCCTCCCCTTGCAGGGGGTTTGGAGCAGCGCTGCAAGGCTCAAAACCTGAATTGCCCTTTTCTTCTCGGCTTGCGCAGCACGTGTTTTGCTGCGCGTGCTTGTCATAATCCACGCAACTTTTCATGCTAAAAGAGGAAAAACCAGACCCCAGGTTCAACAGGTTCTCAATTTACCTACTGGAATCTTTCACCTTAGCGTGTCCTTTGTACATTCCTCATTTTCACTCTTGTAACCTGCCAGCTATTTAATTGTTCTTTTATTTAGTTGCGTTGTTTCAAGTTCGTTTGGGGGTTTCGTTGTTGTTGTTTTCTTTGGTTTTCCTCTCTTTTTTTTTTTGTTTTTTACTTTTGTATTTTTTGTTGCTGTTGTTCACACTTGGCATTTCCTTTCCAGTACTTGATCCTCCTTGCTCTGGGGCGTGCGTGCGTACGTAACCGTGTCTCACGTCACCCCACGGTGCGGTAAAGCCGTGGTTGTGAGGAGATGCTCGACGTAGCCCATCACGATAAGCAACATCAACGGCTTCTGTGCGCTCCGGATTACTGAAAGAGAACTGCATTTGCTAGCGGGGTTTTAGGAAGGTTTTTAGGCACGTTGTGTAAAGGGTTTGGGGAGGGAAGAGGAGCAGCCGGTAGAGGGGAATAGCAGGGAGTCGAAGGTAGTTTTTTTTCTTGTTTCTGTTGCCTTTTGGAAATGAAACGCCTCCCACGGGGGAGGCAGGACTGGAGGCAACTCAGGGGTTATTGCATGTGGTAGAAAGGTAGAGAAGAGAAAGCGTTTGAAGCCGACGAGGTGTAAAGACAGAGGAGGTGGAGGTTGTAAATACTCGTAGCGGCGACACTGCCGTCTTCTAGCGGTCCAAAGATTGGCGTGAGAGATGCAGGGCGCTGTAGCAAACAGCGGTGACAGCTTTGAGCAGAGCCAACAGGTTGTTCCCGTCACTCGAGCGGTGGTGACAGGCCGAGGGCAGCGCTCCCACCATACCCATCTTCGAGCGTCGCCCCGAATCCGCGCTTGAGGAGCCGTAACCGGCGCCGAAAGGGTTTACTGCCCGGTAATGGTGGAAACGGGACGAGGGTGTACATAGACACAAACGTGTGGTTCTCTGTAAATGTGTTGTACAGTTTTCCAGTGCCAAGTACCATTAAATTCCTGACAGCCTCTTGCCTGCCTCGTCTGAGTCACTGGTGCCGCAGGAGGAAGCAGTGCCTTGATTCAAAACCCCCCTTTCTCCCTCCGTCGCTGTTCCTCTTCGCGCCGCTGCGGTTTATTACGGCTCCTGGGGCCCGGCAGCCACCACCCTTCGTGTGGTGCTCGCTGTGACTCGGGGTCACGGCTGCCTGACTCACTGCAGCGCTCGCATCGCTCTCCGCCCTTTCTGGGGAAGAAGGGAGCCAGGACAATGATCCCTAGCACTAAAAACCTCCTTCCTACAGAAAAGAAACCACCCCACAGACCTGTCCGTGTCCTCTTTTAGTAAATATTCTAAAATCCTCTCCTAGATGGAAGGGGAAATGCTGCTGGGCAGACTCCCCTCTGCCAGGGCAGCTTCCCTTGGAGCAGTGGAGAGCACTTGGTTATCAGCAGCGTGATGAAACCATCGGGTCTCTGCAGCACTCCCAGAAATCTGAGGCCTGAGCATGTAGGGGGGTGCCTGAGCATGTAGGGGGTGTCTGGCCATGGCTATGGGTCCCAGGGGGAGCAACCCATGCACCCCTGAGTCCCAGCTTTTGGTTTGCAGGGATGGGGTTTACAGCTGAGCTCTGAGCTGCAAAGCTGAGTTTTGATCTGGAGGAGGCTCAGCCCTTCCCAAGCAAGGAGAAACTGGAAAAATAAGGCTCCTTTTGCTATAAAAAAGGCTCTTTTTGCTATTAAAAAAGGCATTAATGAGTGGCCGGGGCACAGGGCTCATCCTCAACGACGAGGAAATCCCGCAGGGAGCTGCTCATCCTCCAGGCTGGGGCTGAACCTTCATCTCCTCGTCCTGTAGCCAAGGATCGGCAAATTTGCCAAGAACTTAATTTCCCTTTAAAAGTGAATTCCTCCCCCGACTCTCGGTGGTTCCTACCCCGCTCCGTCCCTCCGGGAGGAATGTGCAGACCGCAGCCATCCGCCTCCTCAGACTAAACAAGCCGGGCTTTCCTGCTTTCCTCCCGTGCTGGACTCCCAGCGAGCCCTGGCCAGACTTTTCCTTGTCTGCGCTGCTAAAAACCAGAGCCAAGACCCCCCAGGCTGGGACCCTGGGCCACAACGGGGCAAAATACCCAAGGAGGGGGACCTGGGTCCTGCTGAGCCCCTACGTCCTCGGCCACATTGGCCATGGGGATGTCCCCGTTGTGGCCTGGGAAAGGGAAGGTGGCCATGCCCAGCAGATGCGTGGGCACCTCCGCCTTGGGCAAGCAGCGTCTCAGCCCCGTATTTACCACCGGGGATCCACCCAGCACGGGTGCTACGTGCGGAGAGGAGCCAACGCCACCCTGGTTTACAGGTGAGAGCTTCCCAGAGTCATTGTCACAGCAGGATGTGTCCCTTTCCCGAGCATCTCCCCAGCACCTCAATCCCAGGCTTCCTCCTCTGCTGCGGTGACACCTCCCAGACCCTAAAGTGGGCCCAGGGTCCCTTCATTTGGGCTCGAAAAGCCCGACTTCAAGAGCGCTGCCCTGCAGTTTGCAAACCTCCTTTAAAACGATGCCTAAAATCAAACACAAGCCGCCAAAGCTCAAATTTTACACCCAGCAGCTGCCATTGCGGGATCAAGCCCAAGCTCAGCCTCTCCAAAATCCCATTTTCCAAATTAAACTCGTGGGACCGGCCGGTCTCGGCGCGTCTGGATCGTGAGGGGGCCCTGCAGAGGTTTCCCTGTCGGAGCGGTTTCCCTCTCCGCCTCCAAATTTCTCTTTTTCCACAAATTCCTCAGCCTCCCCCCCCACCCCCAACTCCTCCGCCTCGTCTGCGACTGCAAACCCAGACGTCGCCGTGCACATCTGCGCACATCTGGGCTCGCGTTGGGCTCGGGATCATCCAACTGGGTGCTATCAAACATCTGGTTTGGGGCTTTTCCAGCCGTCACCTTGCT